CTAAACCCCAAATCTCCTTCAGTTTCGTTATTAAGTAGTTAGGTCCAAAACAACTTAGCACCTGTTGCATGCTGTATGCATCCCCTTTTGTGGGGACATACGTATATTTACAACACAGGAAAATACTCCCCCCCCCCAAAAAAAAAAGAAAGAAAGAAAAGAAAAGAAATATAATTTTGGTATCCCATAGGTAATAGAAAGAGTTTTAACTCGAGTCTAAATTAGACATGGTTCTTATAAGCTGTGTTGCCTTGTCTTTTCTGATTCTGTCTCATCATTGGTAAGCAAAAAATAGGAATAGTAATATCTTCACAGCTTATCCTTCGAAGTTTTTTTGAGAATCACATCATACTGTGAAAGCCTTCATAATGTGCTGCACGTATGTCAGCTGGTTACTTTATCTTGGCCCATTCTATTTGCTAAGTTTTTGCCTTGATGTCTAGCTCTGGGAATATGGGCTATTGTTTATTCTTTTCAATCTTTTTATTTATTTATATATTTTGGGGGTTGGAGTCTCACTCTGTCGCCCAGGCTGGAATGCAGTGGCATCCTCACGGTCAGCCCAGCATTGACCCGCTGGACTCCGGCGATCCTTCCGCCTCAGCCTTCCAAGTAGCCAGAGCTACATGTGCACACTACCATGCCCAGCTAATTTTTGATTTATTGTAGAGATGAGGTCTCGCCAAGTTGCCGGGGCTGGTCTCGAACCCGTGGGCTCAGGCAATCCACTCGCCTCGGCCTCCCAAAGTGCTGGGATTACAGGCTGAACCACCAAGTCCGGCCTATCTTATTTTTTTTAAGAGATGGGAGGGTCTCTCACTCTGCCTCCCAGGATGAAGTTGAAGTACAGTGAGACAATCATAGCCCCCTGCAGCCTTGAACTCCCAGGCTCAAGCGATCCTCCTGCCTCGGCCTCTCAAAGTGCTGGGATTACAGATGTGAGCCACTGCACCCAGCCACCTCTTTTAAGAATAAATAAAATGAGACTTATTATAGCAATTCTTAAAAAATTATGCAATAGCATCTTTATTTTAGTTATTGAGGAACCTATCATTTGATGCCCTGCTTGTCACCTAATGTGTGGCCTGCTTAAGGTATTTAGGAAAGGGGAAAAAAGTACCTAGTCAACTAGCATAGATGACATGTGGACCAGCAAACTTGGTCACTGACCTGTTGTGTAAGTGACTGTTCCCAAGGCGTCATGCTACTCAGGCCAACAAAATTATTCCTTTCCTTTCCTTTCCTTCCTTCCTTCCTTCCTTCCTTCCTTCCTTCCTTCCTTCCTTCTTTCCTTCTTTTTCTGAGTCAGGATCTCATTCTGTTTCCCAGGCTGGAGTGCCGTGACATGATCACGGCTCACTATAGCCTCTAACTCCTGGGCTCAAGTGATCCCCCTGCATCAGCCTCCCAACCAGCTACAGGCAGACACAGCCACTGTGCCTGGCTAATTTTTTTTTTTTTTTTTTTGAGATGAGGTCTTGCTGTGTTGTTCAGGCTGGTCTCAAACTCCTGGCCTCCAGCGATCCTCCAACCTCGGCCTCCTGAAGTGCTGCAATTACAGGCGTGAGCCATCACAGTTGGCCTTCCCCTCCCCAATTAAAGCTGAATGCAATTAATTACATTTAAGCTTAACCCCACCAGAACAAAATGAAACTAGGGCATTATGAGGAATCTTGACAAGGATTCTGTGACTTTGACTCATAGTCTGAGGCAGGTACGATATGTATCTGCCAACTGTGGACCTTTTTGACTCACTGTTCCTCTAAATGAACAATTCATACCCACACACCTTCACACGTGGGTTTCTGATCCTGCTGCGGCCCACCCAGAAAGAACCTGAGGAACTCTTCAAATCTTGCTCTCATGGAAGCAGTAATAAGTCATGTTATTTAGAAGAGCTCACTTATAGTTTTCTATGTGATTATCAAGGCCACGTTCGTGTGATGGTGGAATGAGCGATTCTGTGTTTGTTTTCATTCTGCAGGTGCCTGCTGCCCCTTGGGGGTGAAATTGTATCGGCTGGGCCCTAACGGCATCCGGGTCTACTGGCAGGCTCCCAGGGGCTCTGCCAATTACAGCACTGACCTCTACGGCTCCAAAGGCATTTTCACGTGCACTCCAAGTTCTGGCCTCAGTTTCTGTGATGTCACCGAGATACCCTGCGGGGACGTGTATACCGTGATGGTCTCACCTGTTGCTGAAACAGGACTGAAGCTTACTTTCTGTCCCAAAAAAATATATTCAGGTAAGACAAGTGATGACTGTTCATCTAAAATGAATCCTCAACTCAGATCTGTGAATTAAGACTCAGAACAATCCCAGGTATCTGCTTTGTAGGAAGACACAGAAGGTGTGAGATTTCCATATGCTGCAGGCGGATTCTGGCTGTGGAGACCCCCATGCTTTAGGGAAATGGTGACGCCTTGTTAGTATTTAATTTGGGTATACTCTTTTCTTCCCTGTCCCTCTCCTCTCCTTCCTGAATAGGACTAGATGCTTGCAGCTTAAATAATAAAGCAAGCTGGCCTGTAAATGACTGTTCCCAAGGCGTCATGCTACTCAGGTCAGCAAAATCCTCTCACCTTATCCTCCCAAAGTGCTGGGATTATAGGCGTGAGCCACCATGCCTGGCTATAAAGCAAATTTAAGATGATTTTCTGCGTTGAGATTTGGGAATAGATTTTTTTTGTTTTTTGAGTCGGAGTCTCACTCTGTTGCCCAGGCTGGAGCGCAGTGGCATGTTCACGGCCACCGCAGCCTTGGCCTGCTGAGTTCAGGTGATCCTTCTGCATCACCTGGAACTACAGGTGCATGCTACCATGCCTGGGTTTTTGTTGTTGTTATTGTTGTTTTATTGTAGTGACAAGGTCTCACCAAGTTGCCCAGGCTAGTCTCGAATCCTTGAGCTCAGGCAATCCTCTCACCTCAGCCTCCCAAAATGCTGAGATTATAGGCTTGAGACGTGGCGCCCAGCCGATAGATTTTTTAAAAATACAGTCTTAGAGATAATAATAGACATCCTGGGACATTGGAAATGAAGAGACTTGCCCTTTTATACGCACAGATTGAGGGTCATGACTGAGGAAAAGGTGGAGGATCAGAGCAAATGAATTTATAAATCATAATCTGAGTTTAGAAGTAAGAGTGGGCAGACAGTCTGTGATCACAAAACGTGGTTGTCAGCAACTGTCACCCCACCCAAGCTGCCAGAAAACCACGAACAATTCTGCTCTGTGTTCCACCACCTTCTGCTCCCTTACCCAGGGCACCATCATCTATTTTTTCATATATTTCTACAAGAAAAGAAAATAGGTGATGAAGCCCCTGAACTCTGCAGGTGAACACAGAAAGAGGAAAAAATATTGGCTCAGGAACTGTTCCTGATAAATGGAATATGTAGCATTTCCATTTATACATAGGTGACGTTCAGAATGGCCCTCGGTGTAGGAACAAGGCCAGTTCCTCCGGAGGGGGTGTTCCCATTGTCCTTGGCTGTCACGCCCTGGTTCCTTGTTTTCTTATTCTCTTATCCACAGGACAAGCTGGCCTACAGCACAGCCCTCTAGGAAAGGACAGGGATAGATTCTTGGGGTGTGGATGAACTCTCCATGACAATACCCCATCATATCTGCATAGTGTTTTATAATTTACCAATTGTTTTCACATTTGGTATCTCACTGAACACTCAAAAGAACCCTATGAGATAGGCTTAGTTTTTTTTTTTCTTTCATATATTCGGAGTCTTACTCTGCTACCCAGTGGTATGATCATGGTTCTTCGCAGCCTCAACCTCCTGGGCTCAGGTGATCCTTCAGCCTCAGCTTACAGAGTAGCTGGGACTATAGGCACACCACCACACCTGGCTAATTTTTTTTGTAGAGACTAGGTCTCACTGTGTTGCTCAGGCTGATCTCTAACTCCTGGGCTCAAGCAATCCTCCCCTCGGCTTCCCAAAGTGCTGGGATTACAGGTGTGAGCCACCACGCCTAAACTATATTACTGTGAACTGAATGTGTATTATCTCTCCTAATAAATGATGATGTCTCTGACTATCAGTACTTGGCACATAAATGTTGACAATATATTTTAAATAAAAAAATAATGAATCAGTGGGTTTATGTGCCTGCAATCACACAGCCATGTAAGTGATGGAAGTCCTTTGTCCTTTCTCCTGCTCCATGCCCGCAATTCAACCTTGAGTCATCTCTCTCTGATCGCTTAGTGGCTGCCAGAAGTCCTTGTTAATTAGCGTTCTGATACCCTTTGTGGGGGTGTCATCTCAAGCTGCAGCCTAAGGAGCAGGTGTCTAGACTCAAGTCAGAAATTGTCCTTTGCTCAGCCTCCCTGTCAAAATCATGTATTTGGGAGAAAGTTTTCCATTTTAATTTGTTTTGCTGGGTTTTTAAAATACGTTCCCCCAATATTAGTGATGCTTTGCTCTGATAATCAGGACGGTCTTGGAAATGATAATAAAGGCAAGTCCCAGTGGCTCACACCTGTAATCCAGCATTTTGAGAGGCTAAGGTGGGAGGATTGCTTGAGTCCAGGAGTTCAAGACCAGCCCAAGTAATATAGCAAGAACTTGTCTCTACAAAAAAATACAAAAAAATAATTTAAAAACTAGCCAGGCATGGTGGCATGTACCTGTAGTCTCAGCTGCTTGGGAGGCCGAGGCAGGAGGACCACCTGAGCCCAGGAGGTCAAGGCTGTGGGGAGCCGTGATTGTGCCACTACACTCCAGCCTGGGTGACAGAGAAAGACCCTAAATCAAAAAAAATTAACTAATAAATCAATAATAATGACTAATATTCATTGAGTGCCACGTGCCAGGCCCTATTCTAAGGGCTTTCTTACCTGTATTAACTCGATTAACTCATAGGACAAACCTATGAGTTTGGCATTCTTTTATTTTTATTTATTTATTTATTTATTTTTTTAGTTGGATTCTTACTCCGTCGCCCATGTTGGGGTGCAGTAACATACTCACGGCCACCCCAGCGTCAACCTGCTGGGCTCAGGCAATCCTTCCGCCTCAGCCTTCCAAGTAGCTGGATTTTCAGCGCATGCTACCATACCTGGCTAATATTTTGATTTATTGTAGAGATGAGGTCTCACCAAGTTGCTCAGGGTGTTCTCAAACCCGTGGGCTCAGGTAATCCCCTCACCTTGGTCTCCCAAAGTGCTGGGATTACAGGCTTGAGCCACTGTGCCCAGGCGAGGTTGGGATTCTTATTCTCACCACTTTGTAGATACACCAAGTCACAAGCAGAGTAACTTGCCCAAGTCAAACTGCTAGTAGGCATGCCTGCTTACCTCCCATCATTTTTTGTTCGTATGTATCCTTTGGTTCACTTTATTTTTGTTTTATCTTAAGTTATATCTTCACCATCTTAACTACATCAATAATATTAAATGCTTGTATTTTTATTATAGTAACTTGCTCTGGAAGTACACTTGGAATGGGTAAGTTATTTTGTTTTCATGATAAAATAAAAGGGAATTTTTGTTGTTGCATGTCAGGATTATGTGAGTCAGGATCAAAGCTGACTCTTCAATAAGTCAGAAAGGCAAACGCTTGCTTTCTTTGGTGCATTGAGTTCTTGTCTTTTCATTCTGTAACTTGTTCTCCCCTATAAAAATGCCTCTTCTCAGATTCCACTGGTTGAAATTAATTTCTTTGAATTCTGAAATCATTTCATCCTTCTAGGGTCCCACAGGAAAATGTAAATATTTTTCAGAGGGGCAGCTGCTTAATCCCTCATACGTCAAAAGTGGGTCCCAGCCTGGCTGTACCTGGCAATGTTCCTCCCTTGTGATATTGTGACTAATGTTCAGGTCCCACTTATGAGTGAGAACATGTGGTATTCAGTTCCTTGCTTCTGTTATAGATCACTAACAATGACTGTCTCCAACTCCATCCAATTTGCCAAGAAGTCCATGATTTTGTCCTTTTTTATGGCTGCTGAATGGACTTTTTTTTTTTTTTTTTTTGAGTTGGAGTCTCCCTCTGCCACCCAGGCTGGCGTACAGTGGCATGCTCACGGCCACCACAGCCTCGACCTGCTGGGCTCAGGTGATCCTTCCACTTCAGGCTTTCTAGTAACTGGAACTACAGGTGTGTGCCACCATGCCCAACGAATTTTTTTTTTTTAATTTACTGTAGAGATGAAGTCTCACCATGTTGCCCAGGCTGATCTCAAACCTGTGGGCTCAGGCAATCTTCTCGCCTCTGCCTCCCAAAGTGCTGGGATTACAGGTGTGGGCCACTGTGCCTGGCCCTGAATGGACTTTTAAAGAACACATTTGGATTCAAATCCAGTCACCATTGCTTGCCCTTAATCAAGTTGTGTTGATTTTCTCTAAGCCTCAATTTCCTCATACAAAAAATCGAAATAATAGTCATGCCAGGCTGGGTGTGGTGGCTTACGCTTGTAATCCCAGCACTCTGGGAGACTGAGGCAGAAGGATCTCCTGAGCCCAGGAGTTGGTTGCCTAGGCTGTGGTGCAGTGGCGTGATCCTAGCTCACTACAGCCTCAACCTTCTGGGTTCAAGTGATCCTCTTGCCTATCCTCCTGAGTAGCTAGCTACGTCACCTGCCTAGCTAATTTTTTATTTTTTTTGTAGAGTCAGGGTCTCACTATGTTGTCCACACTGGTCTTGAACTCCTGGGCTGAAGTAATCCTCCCACCTCGGCCTCCCAAAGTGCCAGGATTATAGGCACGAGGCACCATGCTTGGCCGTTAACATTTTATTTTTGTGTATGATGTATATACATATTTATTTATTTGTTTATTTTTTGAGTTAGTCTCACTCTGTCGCCCAGGCTGGAGTGCAATGGCACGCTTGTGGCTACTGCAGCCTTGGCCCACTGGACTCAGGTAATCCTTCCACCTCAGTCTTCCAAGTAGCTGGAACTACAGGCGTGCACCACCATGCCCGGCTTATTCTTTTATTTATTGTAGAGATGAGATCTCACCAAGTTGCCCAGGCTGGTCTTGAACCCCTGGGCTCAGGCAATCCTCTTGCCTCTGCCTCCCAAAGTTCTAGGATTACAGGGGTGAGCCACCACAACCGGCTGGCCATTAACATTTTAATGTGCTACTCCTAACTAAGATATTTGCGTTTTAACCTCAGTCCTCATTATACCCTTATTGGTTCTCAACGTGTGGTCCTGGAGCCAACAGCATCAACACCATTGATGGGGAACCTTGTAGAAATGCAATTTCTGGGACTCCATCACAGACCTACTGAATCAGAAATTCTGGGGCTGGGGCCCAGCCATCTTTATCTATTTATTATTATTTTTTGAGTAGACGTTTCACTCCGTTGCCCAGGCTGGAGTGTAGTGGCATGGTCATAGCTTCCTGCAGCCTCGACCTCCAAGGCTCAAGTGATCCTCCACCTCAGTCTCCCAAGCAGCTGGGACTACAGGCGCACACCATCACACCCCACTTTTTAAAACTATTATCATTTTTGTAGAGACGAGGTCTTGCGATGTTGTCCAAGTTGGTCTTGAACTTCTGGGCTCAAGCAATTCTCTTGCCTCAACCTCCCAAAATGCTGGGATCACGGGCGTGAGCTGCCGCTCCTGGCTGCAGCCATCTTTATTTTAACAAGCCCTCCAAGAGATTCTGACATATGCCAAAGCTTGAAAGTCACAGCTTTCATTCGATAAAGCTTCTTTTATAGTGGAACTTTACTTTCATGCAGGTGGGAAGACAGAGGTGAACAACTCTTTGAGGTGATGGTGCCCTGACGAGAGGTGGACAAGAGGGGTTTGTGCTGGTCATTGGTTCTTGGGGCAGCATCATTCTTCTTCAGGATCCAGCATGTTTCAGTGTCACCCATGCATTCTGGGGAATTCTGAGGATGTTGCCTCTTTGTAACATACTTAGCTGTTGGATGTTCATGTCCTCCCCACACAACTCCCCAAATCCATAATGTTTTGGGGTTCCCTGAACATGGCAGGCTGGCCTGGGAGTGGAAAGAAAGGTTCTTTGTCCCGAATTAGCAGTCTGAGCTTACAGACACTCTTTGGGAAGATTCATGTCACGAAGCAGGAGAGAGGTCACCCTGGCTGGTAAGAAAGTACTGGTCAGTTGAACAGTTTGCTCCTTGAACTGTTCAGATTGTCTTAGTTTCACGCTCACGATCAAATGCCGCAAAAATAGCATTTCCAATCAAAATGCTAATAAAATCTCAGAGACATTTGTGCTTTTCAGTTCAAGAACATGTTTGCATATTTAATACCCTTTTTCTGCCTCTTTCTTTCCTTGGCCCTTTCAGTGATTTATCGAGGGAAAAGAAACGCGGAATGACACAGTGAGCCCTGGATATAAAGACACTTGACCAAGTGAGTAGTGTACATTGATGTTGTGTGATTTTTTTTTTTTAAGAGTCAGGGTCTCACTCTGTCCCCCAGGCTGGCGTGCAGTGGCACGATCATGACTTACCACAGACTCGACCTCCTAGGCGCTCAGGCAATCCTTCCTTCTCAGCCTCCTGAGTAACTAGGACTATAGTTGCCCATCACCACACCCAGCTAATTTTTTATTTTTTTGTAGAGACGAGGTCTTGCTATGCTGCCCAGCTTGGTCTTGAACTCGTGGGTTCAAGAGACCCTCCCGTCTCAGCCTCCCAAAGTGCTGGGATTACAGGTGTGAGCCACCACACCTGGCTTGTGTGATTGCATAACAAAGTTGTTTGTCTTTGTTTAAAAACATTTTTCCCCACTTATTTTGCAGAGTTGTCTCAACTGTTAGTGATTAGAGATGGAAAATATCTATTAAGATACAAGCTGTCCCTAGGATAGGAAAAGCTCCTTTGGCTTTTAGAAGAACAACTCTGACTCTGCTTCTTGAGGGCAAGGTCAGGTGTGTCCTCATCTGCATAGGAGTTCAAGGTCTGCTACGGTGAAGACTCTAGAGAAAAGGATCCAGAAGATTCTCTGGCAGGCTGCCAGAGTGAGCCAGCTCTCTATGTGAACCCTGGAAACACGAAAGATCTGCTGGGAGAAATTCTGAGATTTCACATTCAGATACACTGCACACAGACCTCAACACACACATCCACTTCACAGGGGTTTCCTGGACACCAGCACAGGCGAGGCCACCCCCTGGTCACTCGGGGGCTGGGAACGTTCATCCCAGAGATGCCACGCCACCCACGTGGACACAGTGCTCATCCCAAGGCCAGCCTCTGCCAGGACTCCAGCATAGGTGGGATAGCAGATGTTGCCAGGGCAACCTATGCTGACAGACGCCCTCCTGACAGGTTAGGAGGGAAACCAAGCTGCCTGCAGGGACCCCTGAGCCAAAGCATCAGGTGATGTGACACCCTTAGGATCATCCGGGGAAGCAGAGCCGCTGGCCCATGGCTAGAACTGCCATTATGCTTTCTACATGAGCAAAGACGACGAATGGAGCACCTCAAACCATAACCAACTGATGCTTGTGCATTTTGGGGGGAGGACCATCCATCTTATTGGGCATATACCCCACTCACACTGTAACTGCTTTGGAAAGAAAAGGCAATTACATAGAACATAAATCTCTTGCCTAGAAAAATGTTTGTCCTTTGAATTCCAGTAATCTCATTATTACTTTTCTTTAGTTTTCTTTTTCTTTCTCTTTTTTTTCGAGTCAGGCTCTCACTCTGTCCCCCAGGCTGGAGTGTAGTGGCACAATCACAGCTCACCTCAGCCTCAACCTCCTGGGCTCAGGTGATCCTTCTGCCTCAGCCTCCTGAGTAGCTGGGACTACAGGCACGTGCTACTATACCTGGCTAATTTTTTCATTTTTTGTAGAGACAAGGTCTTGCTATGCTACCTAGACTGGTCTTGAATTCCTGGGTTCAAGCAATCCTCCCACCTTGGCCTCCCAAAGTGGTGGGATTATAGGTGTGAGCCACCATGATCTATAGCAGTAACTTAATTAAAAAATAAGTGCATCTAGGACTTGTAACACACACACACACACACACACACAGCTATAGTGATTACTCCCTAAACACATGGCCATGGAGCCAAGAATGTCTATAGTTAGGAACAACCATAAAACACTGCCCAGAGGGAGTGGGAGTGTGGAGTTAGACTTCAGTTAAGCATAGAAAGGAAGGACAGACTTCTCTTTCTTTGTCTCCTCAACCTCTTCTCAACGTGTGGTCCAAGAGAGACAGTGACACGTTTTCTCCGTAAGGCAGATCAGAGATACATAATGTATCACTGATGAGAGATCTTCCCCCAGAGCATCTGCTCTTGAAGGTAGATAAGCCAAAGACACAGATCTCTAAAACTGGAGTCTGAAGCCTCCAAGAGTCCACACTCAGACAGGGGGGTTGCGTTTTGTTCACTTTTCTTCCTAAACACCAATGAGTGAACAGGAGTTGGCTAGGTGTGTTGGCGTCACATGGGGAATTCATTACTTGCATAGATTTCCAGGTGTCACCCACTAGAGAGTCAAATTTGATAGATCTAGAGCTGGGCCTGGAAATCTGTATTTTTAAAAAGATTTCATACCAATGCCTTTATTTAAATTTGGCAGACATCAAGGAAAAGGTAATTAGTACTATATACCTCACATATCAAAATATGAATGAGATGCCAAAACATCAGTTACTTCTGAATGATGTCTCTAGTAGTATGTCTATTTCAAGAATATGTATACACACACACACATCTACACACACACACACACTACACATGGTACAAAACACATGGGCATTATTGGTTAGGAACAGCATGAGAGGAATTGGGAAGTACTCTGACGCCCAGGCTAGAGGGCAGTGGCACATTCATGGCCACCGCAGCCTCGACCTGCTGGGCTCAGGTGACCCCTCCGCCTCAGTCTTCCAAGTAGCTGGAACTAAAGACCCACGCCACCATGTCTGACTAAGTTCTTTATTTATTGGAGAGATGAGGTCTCACCAAATTGCCCAGGCAGGTCTCGCATCCCTAGACTCAGGCAATCCTCTTACCTCTGTCTCCCATAGTGCTGGGGCTATAGGTGTGAGCCACCATGCCCGGCTTCCTGTCCCGTTTTTAATATAACTTTATACTTTTTTGTTCTGTGCCACAGTTTTATTTTAAGGGGGAAAATAAACAAACACTAGTTTGACTTATTCTTATAACATTGAACTGGGGTCAACATTAATATCTATAAACACTAAGATTACTTGGCAAATTTTCCCAAGTCCCAAATGTGATCTATTCTGGATATCCCAGGAAGGACAAAGCTTTTTGCTGAGTCTTCAAGAGAAAAGTGTCTATCTCATCACTGCACAGTGCAGTAAATAAAAGGAGCTATTTGCCAGTCTTCCTGGAGGGAGGGAAGAAATCTGTATTTTTAACAAGCTCGCCAAGTGATTCTGACACATGGCCAAGTTTGGAAACTTTAAATGGCTTGTCTTGGTGAGCTCTTCCTTGAGGTAAAATTTCAGTGATGGGAGGCTGAGAAGACAGAGGTCTGTGACCTGTAAGGAAAGACTGGTGAGATTTAGGCCTGGTGCAGTGGCTCATGCCTGTAATCCCAGCACTTTGGGAGGTGGAGGCAAGAGGATTGCCTGAGTCCAGGGGCTCAAGACCAGCCTGGGCAACTTGGCGAGACTTCATCTGTACAATAAATCAAGAAATTAGCCAGGCGTGGTGGCGCACATCTATAGTTCCAGTCACTTGGAAGGCTGAGGTAGAAGGATCACCTGAGCCCAGCAGGTCGAGGTTGCAGAAGCTGTGAGCGTTTCACTGCACTCCAACCTGGGTGACAGAGTGAGACTCTGAATTTAAAAAAAAAAAGACTGATGAGATTTGTAATGTTCAGAGCAGGTCCATGCCTTGTGAGGGCAGCCATGATGGCACAGAACTAGGGCTGAGTTCTGGGCTGTGGTCCAGAGCCCACGTGACACTGTGTGTGAACCCAGTCATCAGCAAGTTCTGCCATCTGACTAGCGTTGTGTCCAGGGCTGACTGGAATCGCCAAAGAGCCCAGGGCAAAAGCCAAATGGAAGGCCAGGATTCCTGGCCCTAGAGATTAGCTCACCCACACCTGAGCTGCTTTGGTCAGAATTTCATAGAAGACAATCTGATCCACACTGAGTGAAGATAAAACCGGTTTATTTACTGTGTACATAGTACATACTGTGGGCTTCCTTTTTTGAGTTGGAGTCTCAGTCTGTTGCCCAGGTTAGAGTGCAGTGGCACACTCATGGCCATTGCAACCTCGACCTGCTCAGGTGATCCTTCTGTCTCAACTTTCCAAGTAGCTGGAACTACAGGTGCTTACAACCACGCCCAACTAATTTTTGGTTTATCATAGAGACAAGGTTTTGCCAAGATGCCCAGATTGGTCTCGAACCCCAGGGCTCAGGCAATTCTCTCGCCTCCACCTCCCAAAGTGCTGTAATTATAGGCGTGAGCCACTGTACCTGGCTTACAGTTTCTTTTCTTTTTTGAGTTGGAGTCTCACTCTGTCACCCAGACTGGAGTGCAATGGCCACTCCCACACCCGGCTAATTTTTTATTTATTGTAGAGATGAGATCTCATCAAGTTGCCCAGGCAGGTCTCAAACCCACAGGCTCAGGCAATCCACTCACCTCGGCCTTCGAAATTGCTGGGATTACAGGCTGAGCCACTGAGCCCGGCCCTACTGTGAGTTTCTAAGTGTTTTGATACAGGCACATAATGTGTAATGGTCAAATCAGGGTAATTGGGGTATCCGGCACCTCACACACTTATCATTTCTTTGTATTAGGTATTCACGATGTCTTGTTATGTTTTTTGAGTTGGGGGTCTCACTCTGTTGCCCAGGCTAGAGTGCAGTGGCATGATCATAGCTCATCACAGCCTTGATCTCCTGGACTCAGGCAATCCTTCCACCTCAGTCTTCTAGGTGGCTGGGATTACAGGTGTGCACCATCATGCCTGGCTAATTTTTATTGATTTATTGTAAGGACAAGGTCTCGCCAAGTTGCCCAGGCTGATCTCGAACCCCTGGGCTCAGGCAATCCTCTTGCCTCCACCTCCCAAAGTGCTGGGATTATAGCTGTGAGCCACTGTGCCCAGCCTAGATCTCAGCAGTCTTTCCTCACAGGTCACAGGCCTCTGTCTTATGCCCAGCTCAGTTTTTAATTTTTTATAGATATGGGGACTCATTATGTTGCCTAGGTAGCTGGCCTCAAACTCCCAGGCTCAAGCAATCCTCTAGCCTCAGCCGCCCAAAGTGTTAGGATTACAGGTCTGAGCCACCGTGCCTAGCTTGGAACCCGTGATATCTTTATGGAAAATATTTCTCTAGATTATCATGAGGGAGTCATCAACGATTAGTGAGGAAGACCCGGGAAAATAATAGTGAGTGAGTGATGTTCCCTACTCAAGTGCTTGTACATTAATCTGTCAGTTATTTTGGCTGTTTACCTGCTCTGTGAATTACACAAAGCAGCTTTTCATCTCTGACCATCATTGGTAGATTTTACCTTCCATTCTGCTGTGTCACATTTGGGGAATCCAAACCCGTTTCAATCTGTGTAGCAAGGAAACTAGAGGAGAATTAGAGAAACACCTCAGGGAGGTTTTAGAAAACCAGGGGAGCATGGGAGAGAGGGCACCTTGGTACGATGAAAAGGGCCATGGTCTTGCAGCCAGCTGGGTCCAGATTCTCCTCATCTTGGGATTCTATATAATTTCTTTCTTTCTTCCTCCCTCCCTCCCTCCCTTCCTTTCTTTCGAGTTGGAGTCTCACTCTGTCACCCAGGCTGGAGTGCAGGGATTCTACATGGTTTCTCTGTTTCTTTTCTTTTCTGTTCTTTTGCTGGAATCTCACTCTGTCACACAGGCTACAGTGCAGTGGCATGCTCACGGTCACGACAGCCTCAACCTGC